TGATAGATGAAAACCTTAGCTTTCTATTGGTTATAGATAATATAGAATCAAACATAAGAGAAAACTGTTAATAAATCCTGAAAGAGAGGATGTCACAGATGGGTGTGGCACGAGGGGTCTGATTTTCTATTTGATAGCTCTGTAACCAAACAAAATGAAGGCTATAAAAATTATGGTTTCTCTGAGCAATGACAATTTTATAGTGAGTAATTTACGTTTAATCTGTTACTTATTGGAGGAGTGGTGGATAAAATAGAAAAGATGCATAGAGAAAATGTGACACACTGGGGGAAATTCGGGATTTTTTAGAATTTTGCTGTATAAAATTAAGAACTTAAAACATGTATACTATTAAAATATGAATTATTAGTTATAATTTTATGTGATACTAATTGGTATAATGTAAACAAAAAGTAGTTAAATAAAATTTTGAATGTAAGTCACTAAAACCTTGTGATGTGCAGTAAATGATGCCTGGGCAGAGAGGGTTAATTGCATCAGAAGTATCATTTTCATAAAAGATCATATTTATGTCATATTGTACATTTAGAAAAATATCTGCATTGTCAATTATTTTCTTAATAGATATTTGATATCTAATAAATTTCTTAACTTTTTAATTAAAGGCTCCTTAGAGAAATGGGCTGGAAAGAAGAGTGTTTAGATGATGATAACTATGCACCCCTTACAGAAGAGGAATTGAAAGAATTTCATAGTTTAACACAGAAGGTAAGCATAAACCTATTAACTTTCTCTATATGAGCATGGTCACTTTGACTGGCCTCATACATGAGGAGGCAGTGCATCTGGGTTGGTTGGTCAACCTGGAGGAGTCACATCTCACTCCTCCCTCTCCCATCCAGCAGTGTTGTCACTCCAATTTCACCTGTTGGTTTTGTCCGGTTCCTTGTGAGACATTCCACTCCCTTTATGTGTAACGTTCCTTCATTCTTGTTCCATTCATTCTTCCTCCCACCTTGTCTATTGTAAAAGTGGTGCATATTCCATAGTTGGTCTCTGCATGATATTTTCTCCAATTCCTATCCTTCTATCCCCTCATCTTTTTGAAGTTTTATGTAGCTGTTGAACAGAGGCTTATCGCTTTCGAGCATTGATGGTTACTGGGTAGCTCTACCTAATGCTTTCGGGTTTTTCCTTTATCTTCATGCATTTTTCTCTTCTGTTCTGTCCTTTCTATGCTATTTTATTTTTTATTTTTTTGCTACCATTGTTCTCCTGATCCTGTAGTTCTTCCTGATTGGGACCTGAATGCTGTTTTCCATGCCCTCACCCTTCCTCTCTTTGAACCTTTAGTCTCTTGTTTCACTTAAGTCCTATTTCTTACTTTTTGTCTGTGGCCATAGGAGATCTGATGTATATGCCATTGCTGCTTCCTGTATTCTTTTCCATTGTTCTTCTATTCCTTGTTATCCTGCTTGTGCTTTTCTCCCTTAAATGTCTATTGCTCATGCAGGGGACAAAGTATTCACTCATTACTCACTTTTATTCTCATTCTGATCCAAATCGTTTTCTCTGTCCCATCCATGTGGTTCTTTGTTATTTGGCCCACAGTGCTCGTTTTCATGGTTCATGCTCTGTCTATTTATTCTTTGGAATTCTTCATCTCCCCAAGATATTTCTCCCATTACCCTCACAGGATGGCTACAGCAGCTCATCCATGTAGCCTGTGTTTCACTGGATGTAGATTAATGTCAACTCTTTCATGTCTTCTCTCACCAAATCTGATGCCACTCTCTCTCTCTCTCTGGCTGCTCACTTTTGTTATCCATTGGAGGAGATTGTGTGGGCTGTCTTGTGGGTTATGTTGCATACATTCATCACACATTATCTGCATCATCTGGCCGTTTCTTCTTCTTCAGGATATTGACTTCCTCCCATCGCCATTCTACTTACACCATACCAGCTCTGACTGGGTAAGTTTTTCTTTCTCTCTTACCTTTACAGGGACCCTATTCTACATTTCAGGATCTGCTGAGTAGCATGTGGTGCCTATCAGAGTATCTTTAAGTTTAAGTCCACATCATGTGGCCATTTGGATTTGTAATGCTCACTGTTGAGATGGGGTTTTCCACAGGACCACAAGGTTTTCTCACAGTATGTTATTTACAAAACATGGCCTGGTACAGAGCATACCTGCTTGTGGATTATCATGAGTTAGCAGTGTTATGTTAGCTGCCCATTCCTTCAGTCCCAGTTGAATAAACCTGAACTGGCATTTTAAAAAAATTGTTTTGTGGTCACCCATTACACAGTCTATTGGTGGAGGGTTATCACATGCTCATTTGCATGCTACAGTGCAGAAATACCACATTCCTCTGGGCTCCCTACTGCACTTTTACCCCCACCCCTTCTTCTTATGGGGCACGGAGTCTTTGATTCTCAACAGTTCCTAGCTCCTGGGGTGGTGGACCATGAAGGATTCCTTCTGTATGTATGTGTGACCAATTCCACTCAGTAGAGAGTAGGGTGATGCTGTTCTGTTGGTGTAGATTGAACCATCCTCCTACCATGATATGGATGAAAAATTCCAGACAACACCAGAATGAACAAAATTACAGCATTATGTATGTGTCAAAACTTATCATGTGGTAAAGGTCTAATAAACATAAATTTATTTAAAATTTCATTATGAACAGTAAAATTATTAGATAGTTTTGCCTCAAGTAAATTGTTAGGTCTTACGTACTATTTACTTCTTAGCTCTAATGTATTCTGTTTAAAATCATATAGTATTTTGTAAGACATGACTCTCATTCTATAGTATTCATTATTGAAGAAGCTTTTAATAATTTTCTTCCCATTGTCATAAAAAAAAGAATTGACATCCAGGTAGCAGTAAGATAGGTGAACTGTATTTGGTGGGTCATCTCCAGTTCACCTATCCTACTGCTGCCTGGATGTCGATTCCTGGCTGGTTTGGTGTTGGATCGGCACAGGACCAACCAACATAAGTCCTCACTCATGTAGTTGGTAGAGCCCTACTCCTACTGTAGATCATATGAAAAATTCCCTATGCCACCTGTTTTTGGACTGGAGTTCACCCACCATGTATGCCCTCCTCCATCCTACCATTACCTAGATGTCAGGTAGCCTGATGTTAGATGTGTACAGGGTCAGCACATGTAAGCACTATCTAGGATAGTGGAATGGAAGTTAATTTTCCTTTGTGCTTCCTGGTACTTAAGTGAAGATAGTTTGGACCCACCTCCTACTACAGACTGGATAAAAAATACCCAATGCCACCTGGTTTTGGACTGGAGTTGACCTACCATGTACAGTCTGATGTGCCCTAGCCACACAACACCATAAAGCACATCCATTTTCCATACTGTATTTTTGAACTTTATTCTTTTCTGCACAACTTGGTGACACATACCTTCCCTACAGGCAAAAAATATACCCTAGTACAGAAGGACTGCAATCTCCCACGAGTGTGCCTCTATATTTTCATGGTATAGGGTGTCATGCATCATGGGTTCCCTTCAGGTGCTTTCCGAAGGGGGCTCATCCAGGTAACTTTTGCACCTGTCCCTCCACCACTTCAGTGTGGGATTCTAGCTGTATGTGTGATGAGGTAAGGTATCATATCAGAAGTTAACGTTTTCCAAAACTGAAAATGTATTTCCGATACACACTTCCTACCTGTCTTCCCTACTTCCAGGACATCTTTTCTTGTCTAGTCTTGAAGTGATGATTGAACAGTCAGTATAGAGAGAGTCAGTTGCACTAGGAGAATGTGTCACACTTCTATTAGTGGAGGGTTATCACATGCTCATTTGTGTGCTACAGTGCAGAAATACCTTGTGGAAACACAAGTTTAGGTGGGAGCCTCAAGGCAAGTAGCAAGCGAAGGCTTGTGCATACAGAAGGCAACACAAAATTGAGGAAAGCTAGTATATGAGTGGAGGTTTCTATTGGAAATACATATATTTGGTGTTAGAAAATGTTAACTTTTAGTAAATATTACAATTCCTTTCTACACAAAACACCAGTTCTTTTAATTGCATATTTATACCAAAAATGTGATTGTGAATGTTTGTAGTCATAGTGACTTAATCTCTGCCTGGTCCAAATGCAAGGTGATTTTTATGTTAAGGTTAAAAATACTTCTTCCATCTTAGTTTTGAAATTTCAGTTGCATAACCTCTAAAACCTTGTAAGTGAACATCAAAAGTTTTATTTCAATAAAATGTTATATTTTTATCTATTATTTTCTTTATCTGAATGCTGTATACAGTCTATTTGACTGACCTTTTAACTACTACAAAAAATATGAAATAAATCTAAGTTACCCTTCTTTTCTTTCTAGAATGACTGCAGATTTCAACAGAAAATTAGTTATTTATCCTAAACAACTTAATACTTGTAACAGTTTACATCTGTTTTTATTGCTTGTTTCTTTTTAAATTATGTCTAACTAATCATCTCACGATAAAAGCTGTAAATCATATAATAAACATGTAGCTCAAGAGCTACTTCCAAGCATACCTTGTGGAGAAATTTGTTTTTCATTATCTAACCTTATAAGTTTCTAATTTTTACCCTTTAGTTATTTCTATAACAATAACTAAAATATATTCTTAAAAAAAGGAAATTTAGCACAATGTGGTATCTTGTTGTTTTTTTGTTTTTAGATGCTGTCCTACTGATGAAACATAAACCTACTTTTTTTGTAATGAATAGTAGTAATACATTAAATCATTTTTATTTATTTCAAATATATATTTAAGAATACAAAATAATAACATACATAAAGCAAACAGGGTTTTCTAACTATTATAATTTTACTGGCATAATTTAGTTAAAGAATTCCCCCATTAACTCTTCGATCTGTACTCAGTGACAGCATATTTAAATCTATAGATAAAATAACTAAAACTCTCTACCAAGAACAAGGTAATGTTTGACATCATTCATTAAATTAAAACCTTATCTTTCTATTGGTTTTACATAATGTAATAGCAAATGTCAGAGAGAATTATTGACAGTTTCTTAAAGAAAGGATACGGCTAGTGGGTTTGATTTTCTTATTTATATCTCCATAAACAAAGAAGATTGAAGGCTATAAGAATTGTACTGTGCCTTAGTAATAGCTATATTATAGTGAGTGATTTATGTTAAATTCGGGACATAGAGGGATGAAGAAAAAATAGAAAATGTGGAAGTCAGGATAAACAAATGACATGTTACACAGATAAGGAAGATTTGGAATTTATCTAAATATGTACTTTTGAAATTAAGAAATTAAAACTCATATAATATTAAAACCTGACATATTTACCCCTCTTGCTAGAGATAGGTCAACGTAAGTAAGTCAAAACTTTTTAGAGAGTTATATTCAAACTTAAACCACTTTACTATCATTGTATACCAAGAAATTTGTCATCAAAATATAATTAATAAATTAAGTTTTAAGTTCTTATTTTTATGAGGAAATATTCAGAAAAATTCTAAATTTCACCTAGTATGAGAATTATATTTGTTCTTTGGTCTTTACTCTTCTCTAATTTATTTACCACCCTTCTGAGAAGTATGGAGTTTGATGTAAATTACTCCTTATAATATAGATATTACTAAAGCAAAGCATAATTTTTATATATCCTTAATCTTATTTGTTTATGGAGTCTTAGACTAGAAAATCAGACCCACTTGTCACATCCTCTCTTTCACAAATTGCCAGTAGTTCTCTTTGCCATTTTATACTATAT